TCAGCCGTTCTTCCTTGGAGACTGGGGCAAGGAGACAGCCGGGAGAACCCAGCCCCTTTCCAGGGGGTTGTGCAGGGAAGGAAGCAGCTGAAGGGCTGAAAATGCTGCACCCAGCGAGAGCAGCTCATGGGGCCACAGACCTCACATGGATCCACCTGGAGCTGGGGGCCGTGTGAGCCTCTCCAGGTGGTGGGCACACACTGGGCAGGGTGGGCTCTTATTAATTACTGCTAATAACTTATTTCACATATCATTCTTGATGGGATTTTGTTGCAGAGGGCTGCTGATATTTTAGGGATACAGAGGGCAAATCTCTGTCCGCGCAGCCAAATCCCCGGGCCGGGGCTCCGGAGCCGCCGGCACAGCCCTCGCCGAGTGTTTCCAAACTGAATAGTCATTGGTTTGGCAGATAATTCAGAAACTATTTGTATGAGCTGTTTATCAAATTATTAACTGCACAGATGTTGTTTGGTTGAAGAGCAGCTGAACCTTCTCTCTGCCAGCCGGGGAGACAAAGGTCTGCAGGAATAATTGGAGATGTGCATGGAATATTAAATTAATTTACTGCTCTTAATTCTTATGCAAATCCTGACCTCTGATAGAGCCTATCAATTACCCTGCACACAGGGAAAAGAAAGGAGAACAGTTTCTTTCTTTTCTTCCCCCCCACCTCCTTTTTTTCCTGTTGTTCTCCAGTTTGGGGTTTTGTTTCTTTGTTGTTGTTGGTTTTTTTTCCCTTTTGAAAGGGAACTTGGGAAAGGAAATATTTGTGGGAAGAAAAAAAGCCATTTATTTGTGGTGCAAAGGGCCAGGATTATTTAATTGAATGTCCCGGTTGCAGCGATGTCCCCTGGGAGACAGGGTGCAGTTTTTAACATTGTGGGGTGCTCGGGGGAGGCCTGGGAATGTAGGCAAGAGCCAGGCTGGAATAGCTCCACATGCTTCCCCAGGAGGGGCCCCACTCTGCCAGCACCGTGGTGGGCTGAAGTAGGAGAGGGCTGGAGGCCCGGGCTGATCCCAGCCGGGTTTTGGTGGGGTTGGGGGCAGGAAGGGGCCCCTGGCTCTGCTGGAATCCAGCCGGGGTGCAGGTGGGTTATCAGAGAGGGCTTCCTGCCCCGACAGCGGGGCTGATTCTGCCTGTAATTACCAGGGAAGAAGAAAAGGAATTTGTTGTGAGATCGCAGGTAAAATGAAGCAGGATTTAATTGGTCCTCGTTAAACAGAGCTGGGTTTCCAATATGGAGAAAGGCCTCGTCCGGGCAGTGTTTAATTGGGGCTGTGTGTGCGCTGCTCAGCCGGTGCTTAAAGGCAGGCGCCAGGGCCTGTTCTTTCATCCCATTTTCTAATAAGGATAAATAAACAGGATGAATAATGCCATCAGTCTCTCCCTCGACCCCTGTGAGACCCCAGCAGTGCAGTGCTGCTCCCTGGGATCCATGAATCCAAGGCACACAGGATCCCCCGGCTTGGAGCACCCGATGCGGCACCGATGGGCTCCGTTAGCGGAACCCCCAGGTCCAGCTACGGAGCAGTTTGGGGAATTCTTTGGTTAGTGGCTGTCAGAGGGGAGCCTGAGGAGGAGATGGGGCTCAGGAGGAGAAAGGAAGGAGAAAAGAATGGAAAATAAAATTATGTCTTTCCCTTCTATTTTTCCTTTTTTATTTTTTTTCCCCACGTAAATCCTGGGAAGCGCTGAGAGACTGCACTCCCCCTCCCACGCCGCCCACTCGGGTAATTTCATTTATCCCGCAAATCTAATTAGCAATCCGTGGCTGACATTAATACAGATCTAATGAGGCCGGCGATGACCAGATTATCAGGCGAGCGCTGACAGAGCCTTAAAGGCACATCGAGCCCTGCAGTCAGTGGGACCTGGCAGGGGAAAAACTGCTTAAAGGGGGAGAAGAAAAAGGAAAAAAAAAAAAAAAAAAAAAAAAAAGAAAGGAGGAAAGAAAGAAAAAAAAAATAGACGAGGGAGGGGGAGAAAAACATGAGGAAAAGCAGTGCGGGTAGGGCTTGGCTGCTTAGCTTATTAAGGGAGCTGGAGCTTTGCTGGACGCAGTTTATCCACCAGCATCGGGCCTCTGTCCCTGCTTCTCCCGAAATACCGTTCTGCAGAGGAGAAAAAGGAGGGGGGAAATAAGGGGAAAAAAAAAAATAAGAAGAAGCTGGAGCCCAAGGAGTCGCTGTGCAATTTATTCCAAGGGGTGGCTGTTGAGAAGGCGGCAATTTGCGGCGGCCGGGGGTTATTTAGTGCGATATGAAATCAAATGATCCTATTGCTCAAATAACAGTGTCTGGGAGGAGAAGCGAGCGCGCTCCAAAGGTAATTGTCTCCAGATGATATTCCTATTATCCCCCAATCCCGGCCTAAACGCTGCCAGCGCCGGACTGGAATCGATACGGGGGGAGGACCGGGGGCATCCCGGGGCCGGGGGGAGGCATCCCCGGCGCTGACCCCCCTCGGGAAGGGCGGCAGGGCTTCGGCAAGACCCCGAATTCCCTGTGGCTGCTGCCTGTCCGTGCCTCGGCGGGAGCGGCAGCACCGGCGGCTGAGCCGAGCCCGGAGCCCAGGTAAGAAGGGACCGACGGGGGGACGGGGAGCGGGAACCCGGGCCCTTCCGTGCTCCGGCGGGCAGCCGCTCTCCGAGCGGACCCTTCTGCATCGCTTCACCCCAGCACAGGCTGCCGGGTCCGGGGCGACCTCCCGCCGCCCCGGTTCAACCCCGCTGCGCTCGGTCAGCCGCTGCTTGCGGTCACCGGTGCCTGCGGTCGGTCCCGTTTGCCTGGAAGCGCGGCCGGACCAGGGGTGGTTTCTCTCTGGATCCCCGACTAGCGATTGGAGCGGCGTCCCCCGCTCTCCGCGGCGCTGCCCGATGGTAAAATCGCCGGAATTCAATGGCTTTGAGGGGAAAAAAAATCCAAAGGGACAGAAGGCGGTGAGGGGGAGACGGGAGAGAACCGGCGGCACTTACCTGGGCTGGGGTCGCCGGGGCCGGGGCCGGGCTCGCTCCGTGGCCGCAGCGGCAGCGGGGACCGAACGCTCCGGGTGCGGCAGCCCAAGGCGAGCGGCGGCCCCGCAGCTGCTCCCCAAAGTCCATCGGGGCGCCCCCCGTGCCCCCGTGGGCTGGCCGGGGTTCCGCCAGGAAAATCCTGGACGGGGATTTCCCCCTTTCCGCCTTTCTTTGTCAGCCTTTCGCCCCGGCGGACAGCGCGTCCCCGGCGCTTCGGGCATAGAGAACAAACGCGCTCCTCCTGCAAAATAAATAATGCGAGTATTGAGGGAGTGAAACTCCGGGCTGGGGCGCCCAGGAGTGTCCCGGCTGGGGCAGCTCTGTGCTGCCGGGGGCCAGGGTTTGTCCCGGAGCCGTAACAGCGGGAGGTGGCTGTGCTGAAGTAGCGGGGACACTGAACACGGGGAGCGGCAGGAGGAGAATGCTCGGGGTCAGGCGCCTCTCTCGGGTCAGATCCCGATGAGAACAGGGCACAGTCACCCCCCGGGCCGCCAGGACAGGCTGGTGGGGTTTGTGTGTCTGCAAACGGGCAAAGCATTTGGAACCTGAAGCCTGGAAGTGAGCCCCAGCCTTTGCCCACCCCATGCCGCCTCGCAGGTATGTTAGAACGAGTTTTTCAGCACTGTCCAAATGCGCTGTTGGAGGGTTTTTTCCATCTCTGCTCAAGCCTTTTTGTCAGCTTCAGCCTCAGGTTCCTATTTCTGTTTGGCGTGTTCTGAATGGAGTGCAGGGCCCAGGGGTGCTGAGCTCCGAGCAGACAGAGTTTAATTAATTGAATAGTCCTGTGCTTGTTCTCCCGCTTTTTACAAACAAATGAACAGTTGATATGTGTGGATCCTTTCATTCACCACCAGAACAATCCTCTGCACAGGACAGGGGGAAAATGCCTAATCAGTCACAGCAAACCAGCATGGTGCTTTGGGGTGGGAAGTGAAAAATACCATGTCCATTCAAACTTGGATTTCACAGCACTGGAGGATCGGGAGAGGCAGAGTGCAGGACTTGCCCCAGGTGAGACTGGGCTGGCTGCACAGGCAGTGCTTCCTCAAAGCACTCCCAGGTCTGGGCATTCAGCTCCAGACCTCTGGCAGAAGTGAGGCTGGAACAGAGGCAGCAATAAAGCTGTGCCCAGGCAGGAGCTTGGGGTTCCCTACGGCGCGAGCTCAGAGCTCCACGCTTTTTCTCCTCCTGCTGATCCGCTCGCTTTTATTTTTCCACCTGCTGACCCGCAGGTGTTCCTGCTGAGACACAGACCTGGTGGTGGGCAGTGTTTGAATGCTGGGCTGTGAGGAGGTCAGGGATCCTCCAGGGACCCCGTGTTTGTCTGTGTGTCTGTCCCAAGAGCCGCGCCCGGATCCTGGCCCCACACACCACAGGCTCGCCCAAGTGCCTCCCTTTGTTTCAAACTCTTGGAGCCTGGAGCACTTGTTGAACCTGCCCACGAGTGCATCAAAGTGGCTGACAATTAGGAAATAAACAAATATCATTTGAGGTGGTTTTGAGCGGAATCCAGTCATACATAGAAGGGCTCGTTGCTGTTGTTATCATTTTGAATATTCCTCATAGTTGGGATATTTGTGCTGTGCAGCGGCGTCCCCGGCACGGCAAACATTGCATTATCTCCCTGTGCAAAGGCTCCATTAATCACACCAGACAATGGGCCAGACACATCCCTTTGAGCCTGGTGCTGGGATCCTCCAGGCTTTTCACCTTGTCCAAACGCTTCATCCCTGTCAATGCAGGCAGCAGCTCTTCAAAACCGATGTCTCTGAACTGTGGGACTGACCGGAAAACATCTAATTCAGTTAAAAGAATTCCCCAGTTATTTTATATTCTCCCTTTGATTTTTCATGGCTTGTAGAAGCTAAACTTTTTCAGTCTTTCCGTCTGTACATGAGATCAATCCAGTCATTTGTTAAACACTAATGAAATTGCCTGATAGATCCGCATCCTTTAAAGCAGCAGCAGCAGTGGCAAGCACTGAGATCGAGCAGGATGGAGTGGCCTGGCCAAGCCGTGGCCCCGCTGGCAGGAGCTGCAGAGTGGACAGCAGAGGGAACACAGCTTGGTGGTGAAGGTGCTGTTCTCCTGAAAGAGGATCCTGGCAAAAACATGGCTTGGTGCAGGGGATGGCACGCTGAAGGCAAGGTAGGACCTTGTGTGCTGGGAACAGGTGTGGGTGCACGTCCCCTTTTCCTCACTGCAGTGTCTCCTTTTCCTCACTGCAGCAGGACAGTCGGGCACAGGGAATCCTGAGAGCCCCCAGAGGGATGGTCTCCATCCCACATCTGTGAGGAGGGGAGCTCATGGTGCCTGTGGCAGGCTTTGCCTTGTGCTGGGTTCTGTCTCCTTGGGTCAGCCTGCAGCTGAGCAGGACCCTGGTCCCCCCAGCCATGGGACCCCAAGGGACACTTGTGGCACTGGGTTTGGCTGTGTGTTGGTAGCCATTTCTGCCACTTGCAGTCTGGTCACTGCAGGCCTGAATGAGCCAAAATACCCTCTCCTGAACAGAAATACACCAGAGCTGGTTCAACCTGGGGAACACAAGTTGAAGGAGCCGTGGCACAGGGCGCTCACGAGTGTGAGGTGTAGATGCTTTCAGGGAACGTGAAGGTGGAACCCTTTGGCTGTGCATGGTCAGGTTTGAATTCAGCCTCTGGGCTCACATCTCAGAAAGCCTGAATTCAGTTCTCATTTTTCCAGGGATGGGGAAACTCAACACTGTCAATCTCCTCTTTCCTCTTCAGACAGCAGCAGACACTTGAATGGAGACTTCTCGTGTTTGCAGCCTGGTCACACGAGTGACTGAGACACAAAATCTCCCTGACGTCCTCTCTGGATGCTTGGCCTTGGAACAGCCTCATTTGTGCCAGACCTGCTCCCTTCCATTCGTGGAGCCTTCTATGCTGCACTGGACACTGGAAAAGCACTTGGAGATGGCTGGAGAAGGAAGGAGACATCCTAGAAAATGGTCTCTAAACCAGGCCTTTCCCTGTGCCATGGCTCATTAATATCAGTGGTATGTGCTTATATCTCAATTCTCTGGGATTAATTCAAAATCCACGGACAGTGATATGCCTAGGGGCTTTTCACTTATGTCACTTTTGGCTAAGGCCGTTACATTTGTAATAAACATGACATGCTTGTAACTGCTGCAGTCTCCAGGTTTTTGTGTACTCAGCCGCTGTGTTCTGCGTTCCAGGTTCCTGCTGGAGGAACTCTGTCACCTTCCCTGAGGCAGCAGAGCTGAGGCCAGACGTGGTGTGCGCTGCTTGTGCATCAGACATGAGTAATAACAAGTTCGGAGGAACTGTACCACTTAATAAAAGCATTTTATTACATTTAAATGTATTAAAATGTGACCATTAAATTCAACATGCTAATTACCGCTCCCAGGCATTGCCGCTGACAGGAAATGGATCCTCACAATTGCTCTGCTGAGATCACTCACTGCTGTTACTGCTCTTTGGTTCCTGGTGTGTTATTAGTGCTCTGCATTTGGGACTTGAGTCATTAACAAAAAGGACTCATGTTGGGCATTATGTAAATTCTGTATGTTTTCACACAGCTACCGGGGCCTGTGTTATGTGTCTCATTGACAAAAAGAAAAGCAAATGGATTTGGCTCTGCCCTGGCTTGTGGGCGAGTGATCTCAGGGGTCACCCAGGCACAGAGAGGGAAAACCTCTTCCTAACACATCTCTGTGTTTCTGCAAATCCCTTTCCAGGGAAATTTGTACCCCCCCACACCACTTGCTGCATGTCCCATGACACCCTACCACGGACACTAACAATTCCTGCTCTGTAAGGTGTTTCCCACTTTTCTGGGAGCCAGGGGCTTCCCATCCCTGCTGCAGGCATGTGCAGCACATGGATCCATTGCCCTGGAAAACTGGGAAAGCCTGCCAGGGGTCTCTGGTAGGTGAGAGGCCTGTGGCCAAGTGCTCAGCTCCATGAGGCCAATCCCTCACCTTCTGGGATGTGGTTACTTCCCAGAGGAGAGGGGGATGCTAAAGGACACGTGGCTGCCTCCCTAAATGAAAAAGAGTGTAAAGCTGTTCAGATTAGTGCACATCAATCCCTGCACTGGAATCAAGAGATGCTTTGGTTTGGCAGCACTGGGGACAAAGCCACCATTTCGTTCAAAGTGTACTTAGTGCGACAGAAGGAGGCGGCTTCCTTTGACAGTTTTACAGCTCTTATCAGATTACATCAAAATTAAATTAAAACAATCTAAAAGAAGTGTGAAGTACTGCAGGGAGAACACAAATAAAACACTCCTCTTTGTAGGCTTTCAGGGAAGGGACCACATTCCTTATCAGGGATGGGAGGATGGAGATTATTCTTGAGTCAGTTATGAGCCCAGAGGCTGCGGTGAGCACTGAGACACAGAAAAAAGTGGGAAATACATTGGGAGATCAGGCTAAGGCTCCTTATTTCCTTATTTTTCCTTAAATAAATAGCAGGATGTTGAGCCTTGCTGCAGTTCAAACACCCTCAAGCCCCAGCCCAAGGTTCATAGTGAATAAAAACCTCCCAGGGCTGCCCAGGAGACAAACTGTGCAGCCCAATGGGTCAGGGACCATCAGCCCCTTTCCAACAAACCCTCAAAACTGGAATAAGGCTTCCCATTTTTTCAGTTTGGGAATAAGGCTTCCAGTGGGCTCACGATTTCAGACAGTGCTGGAAGCACCTGGAAGTTTTGCACTGTTTTAGGTGTTCTTTTAGTGAGCACAAATATTTACTAAAGCAGGCCTAGATTTCACCTGTGGGCTCCTGTGAAGGTGTGAAGAAGACCTCCAAAACACATCTTTGCTTTCAGTACACAGAAGAAGGGGGAGAACAGTCTTCATGACAAGTGCTCTATATGAGAATGCAATACTAAAAGGCTCCCAAATCCTCTGCTGGGCATTCCTGGAGTGGGAAAGCTCTGACTCAAGCCAGTGTTCTCCATACTTAGTTGAGATAGGTATTTAGATGGACACATAGGGTCTGAGTCAGGCTAATTTGGGGGCAGCTGGGTGCCACTACATCCATTCCACAGAGCTTTTCACTCTGTGTTTAAATCCATGAAGCTGAGCTGGAGGCTGCAGGTGTTGGAAACACCAGGAATGCTGCTGGATCTCCAAACCCAGTCTAGGAACCCCAAAAGCTCCCGATTCCCCCAAGGCCAAGGCATGTCCACAGCCAGAGCCTCCAGCTCCAGCTGAGCTTTCATGTGTCTGTTCTTGGCCAGAAGTTCTAACGAAGCGTAATTACTGTGATGATCTCGCACTAATTGTACTCTGATTGCCATCCTAATTATGCTTAAGCATTTCACTGCTCTCTGCAATTTTGTCTATTGATGTATCGCTTCTCCTTCATTTCAATTATTCCCACGCTATTCAGATTTTATTGGGGCCCTGGAATTTAAGCGCTCATTTGGCAACTTCCTTTCAAAGGGATTGAAGTTTTTATCTGGAAATGAAAGGCGGGCGTTCTGTTTTCATTCTCCAGCTGGAGATGTGAATGCAGGGCTGGAGATGGCTGTGCCCGGCTGTGGCTTCTCCAATATGAATTTTGGAGAAGTGGCAGCACTAGAGGGACACAGTGGCACTCCAGAGGACGGGGAAATCAGGGTGGCTTTTTTATTGAAAACCATGGTGTACAATAAACTCAGCAAAGCCAACTGTAACTGTTCAGCAGCTTCCAGTTATTTTTTGGACTGGCACTTTGCAAATTTCCCCCTTTTCCTGTGACATGGATAGGTGCCCTCCAGCACCAAGCTGGGGGCTCAACACCTGCGGTAACAACGTGGTGGTGAGAGATGGGATGACGATAAATAATTATATATATATTTTTTTTTTTTTAAAAAAAGGAAATACAAAAAGGAAAAAAAAAGGGGAAAAAAAGTCTTCAAGGCTTCCAAAGCGCCTCTGGGCGGCGCAGGCCGCGCCCGCCCGTCCCCATGGCAACGCGGGGCGGCACTTCCGGGGTCCCGCGCGGGGCACGGCGGGAGCCGCACGTGGGCACCGGCGGAAACCGGGATCGGGAACGGCACCGGTATCGGGAACGGCACCGCGATCCGCGCCAGGATCGGGGCCACTGGGACCGCCCCCGGGCACCGGCGGCCCCGGGATGCGCAGCCCCGCGCCCGCCAGCCCCGCGCCAGGTGAGCCGGCTCCCGCCGCGGGGTGGTTGGGGTTCGGTTCCCGCCCCGGGCGGGCGGATGCTTTTCCCCTCCTTGTTCTCATTCATCTCCTTTTTCTTTTCCCCTTGGATATCTAAGTTCTAGTGGGCTGGGAAGTCAGTCAGCAAAGATTCGGCTCCTGGCTCATGGAGCACGCCGGGACGTGTAGCGGGACTTTAAATCCCCTCTCAGATTGTTTATGGCCGGGGTTTGTTCCTGGTGCTGGGCCCTTGTCCAGCCCCACGCCCGGGGGTTTGTTTGCTGTGCCTGCCCCAGGAGACCTTCCCTGGGTATCCCTGCCTGCCTGAGTGGCTGCTGCGGGCAGAAAAAACTGAAAAACCCCTCTGGTGGGGAGGGAATGGGTTTTGGGGAGCCGAGGAACTCAGTGTGCTCCCTGCGGGATGGGAGAGTGGGAAATGGGGATCAGAGCACACATCAGATCACATCCATCGGCTTCTTCATCCCTTAGGATATCGGTGTTCTCCACTGAGGCAGGAAAATTACTTGGAGAAGTGTGCAGGAAAATTACTTGGAGAAGTGTAAAAGCAAGATCTTGAAATCTGCGTGTGCTTGGCTGTCCATGGCATAAGAGGAGATTGAAGGGATGAGATCCCAGATGGAGCGGGGCTGTTAAATTGTGCACATGACACGCAGCCCTGATCCTGCTCCAGGCACTGTCAGGATCACATGGCTCAAAGGGACGCCTTGATTTCCCAGGCAGAGAGGCAGGAAGGGTTTTTCCTGTTTCCCTTCTCTGCAGGGAAACTGTGAAGGGGTGTCTGTGTGTGTAGGGAGTGCCCAAATCCACGAAAAAGTGTTGGGATGTGTGATGTCCCGTTTGCTGCCTAATGACAGCCTGATGCTGTTCCTGAAGAGGCTTTGCTTCTGGCAGGCTTTGCAGGGTGAATCTGCTGGAATCCTCTCTTGGTTTTTTTCAGTTTTTCCCTCAGGGTAGAGTTGTTCATCCTCAGGTGCAATTTGGAGCTGTTTAATAATGGCAGCTTTACTCTGTTCCCAAAACCACCTTCCCTGTGGGATGGCTTTGGGAGAGGTGTGGGTGATTTTGTGGTTTGGCAGTGCCGTGATGGCTCCACAGGCTCTCAGCACCACCAGGATTCCTGCCTGACACTTGTTCCTGCAGCAGTGCTGCAAGTGAGGCTCACCCGCCTCTAGATGGACCTGGCTTGGATGCCAGGAGGGAAATATGAGCTTGGTTTCAAGTTGAGTTCCTAAATAAAATACTTGTGGGGTCTGTGAGCTGGGAGGGGTTTTGGAAGTGTGTTCTAATCCATCCCTGTGGCAGGTTCAGGGCAGCTGTCCTGGGAACAGCTCCAGCCAAGTGTTTCCTGCGTGGAAGGGGGTCTGCTGTGGGATTGTGGGGCAAGAAGGGGAGGGATGGGCTTGGGAACTGCCCGTGGTGGGGTTCAGAGCCCTTCCTGGGCCGTCTGGGGTGTCTGGATGATTTGGTGGGTCCCATGTGGGTGTTCAGGCATCTCTTGCCTTGCCAGCAGCCCTGTTCCAGTGAGGAACAGAGAGAGGGGTGGAAGTTTGGAGCTGTTCAGACCTGGGCTGGCAGATGAGTCTGCAACTCCCAGCAGATCTGACCTCTCTTCTCAGCAAGGGCGGTGCTCTGCAAAACCCCTGCAAAACCCCCTAGTTCTGGTGTTTGGAGATCTCAGATGGTGAAATGCTTTTATCTCACTGTGTGTTGTTTTCTTCCAGTGAAGCCAGAAGGCTGGAATTAGGAAGGCAGAGAATGGAATACACAATGGCTGATCCGCACCTGTAAGCCTGTTTAAAAGCTTCTTAGGGGTTATTTTATTTTAGTTACAAAGATTTAGTTATCTTGGAATGCCTTTAGAATGTTGTCTTGAAGGTTTTTCAGTAATAATACATTTATATTCATGTTAAGTGTAATGCAAAATTCATGTCTTCAAGTTATTGATGAAATAGCTGCAGCAGTAACATAAATGCCTCATTCTATGGATACTAAAATCTTGGGAATAACTAATGTGCAGCTTGGCTTTATCCTGTTTTTACAAAATCACCACAGCTTAGTCCATGCTGGAGAATCCCAGGGTCTTAGAAAGTTGAAAGCCTTAAGAAGCCCTAGGGGATATTCCAGGTTCTGGTCCTGCTCTTTGGAGTCTTTCTGCAGTGTTTATTTAATGTAAATTGCATAGACAGTCTGTACAAAAAAAAAAAAAAAAAAAACAACCAAAAAACCAACAAACCAAAGCACAAAAAAAAAAAAATCCAGAATTCCCAACAACCAGATAGGGTATATCTCCAGGGACTGAGTGCTGGGTGCTGTGGGAGCCCCTCTTCTGAAAGGTGCAGAAAATGCAGATACAAATTAAAAAAAAAATATCTGGACAGGTGGGGCAGCATCACATGTACTTTGTTTCCTGGTTTTATTAGACTTGGTTTAATGTAACAGGTTTAGAGCTGCAGTTTCTCTGAACATCTTGAGGGCTTTGGGTTTCAGTTTCCCTCCTGGCTGAAGTGGAGCTGTGAGACAGGGCCATCTTTGGTGCCCATTTCCCTGTGTTGGCACAGGGGAAGGCACATCAGGAAAGAGAATCTGGT